GATTGTGAGCTCTTTCTTTTTTTCAGAGCTATCTTTTTCTGTCACTCAGTCAATATTCTCAATTTGGTCTATTTGCAATTTTTTTTTTTTGCTTCTTATCTCCTACAAATCAGCAGCTCTGAGGACCATTAGACCTTGTATTTATGTCCTCATACATCTCCTTTTTAGTGGGCTCCCATTATTGCGACTGAGACGCTGGAAAGCCCACTCCGCAATTCGCTAACATAAATGATTCTCATTAACAGGCGAATAAGTTACGTGTGCTGAACTATGGAATGTACAGCCCTGAGACTGGACAGAGATCATATGTTGTCAATTTGGAGAATAAAAGGTTCATAAAACTACAAGCTGGATGGAAAAATATAAAGAGCGCACCTACAAAGGTCTTCCAGTGTCATCAATAACTTTTAAATGAGTCTGGTGAGGCGGGCGCGGGGTGGTCACACCATGTAATCCTAGACGCCTGGGAGGCTATATGAATATTTCTTGTTCCTCATCTCCAAACAAATTTGATGTGAGAATTTTTAATTTTGCCAATCTGGTGGATTTAAAATAATGTCTCATTTTAGTTTTGATTTGCAGATCCTGAATAATAGTGCAGGTGAGAATCTTTTCATATATTTATTGGTCACTGGCTTTGTTTTTCCTCTCTGAAATCCCTATTCAAGTCTTTTGCCCATTTCAAAATTGTGTTGTTTGGTTTTTCTTTATTGATATTTTGGAATTCTTCATATATTCTGGATAATAGTCCTTTGTCAGTTGTATGAGTTGCAGATATCTTTTCCCAATGTGCAAATAATCTTTTTTTTTTTTTAATGATATTCTGATGAACAGAAGTTCTGCATTTTAATGTAGTTGAGTTTAATTCATCTTTTCTTTTACAGTTTGTGCCTGTTTGGGTTTGCTTCAGAAATCTTTTTCTCTTCCAAGGTCCTAAATATAGTCTCCTGTTTGTTTTCTAAAAGTTTCATAGTTTTACTTTCTACATTTAGGTCTTTAATTTATGGTGTGAAATACGGGTCCAATTACAATTTATTCACTATGAATAACCTATTGTACAGACCCTCTGTTTCTCAGTACTAGCCTGCAATTCCAGCTGTGTTGGATAGTCGCCAAAGACAGCTATGATCAATTCTTTCCTTCCTTGTGTTTGCCACTCCATCCATCAAGAGGTAGGGTCTGATTTCCTTCCCCTTGAACCTGGGCTGGTCTAGCGACTTGCTTTCACGAACAGAGAGAGGTCACATGGAAAGGGATTGAGACACCCCAGCCAACAGTTGGCACCAAGGCCCCAGCCATGCAAGAGCCGTCTTTTGGATCTTCCAGCTCAGCCTAGCCAAGTAGCTATGCAGCTGAATGACTGAATCAAGGTGAGACCAGAAGAACTGGCCAGTCAATCCACAGAACTGTAAGAAATTACAAAACGGTTTCTGTTTTAAGACCCAAAGTTTGGGGTAGTTTGTGACATAGCAATAGATAATTGCTCTGTAACAAATCAGGTTTTTATACATATTAGAGTCTGTTTCAGGGCTGTATATTCTGTTACGTTAGTCAATTTGTCTTACTATCTGACAGGGAAAGTATATCTATCTTGTTTTTTTTAGTGAATGTATTGGTTTGGTACTTTCATGTAATGTATAGAATCAACTTATGAGATACACACGCACATACAACAGACCATCCTCAACATTAAATTGTTGGGATATTTTATATATATTAAATATATCTCATAAGATATATATGATATATCTTTCTGCATTTACTTGGTATTCTTTAATGTCTTTTAATATTCGATTTATAATTTCTCCATAGAGGTCCTATACATCTTTTATTAGATTTATTTTTAAGTAACTTTTTGTTGTTATTATATATCCTCTTTGTTACTGATATACAAATGAAATTTATTATTGTATACTGACTTTGTAACCATCACTTTTATTGACCTTCTACTTAATTTTTAATTAAATATTTAATATTAATTTTTAAACTTTATTTTAAGAGTTTTCTATGTAGACAATCCTATCATCTGCAAACAATGACAGTTTTGTTTCTTCCTTTTCAACCTTTATTGATATTATTTCTTTTTCTTATCTTACTTCATTGGCTAAGATCTAATATTAAATAAAATCTTATACCTGACCTTAAAAGAGTATTTTTATTTTTATATTTCACCATTAAGCATAATTTTTACTATGGCTTCCTTTCTCTAGATAACTTTTATTAAATTAGAGAAGATTTCTTGTATTCCTTCTATTTTGCTGCAAATAATTTTTTTCAAAGTCATGATTTAATGTTTAATTTTATTAAATTGTTTTCCTGCATTTGTTGAGATGATCATAGGATTTTTATCCCTTAATTTATGACTGTAATATATTAAGACTTTTACGAAAGGGGAACCAATCTTGAATTCCTGGGATGAAATCAACTTTGTGATGATGAACCTTATTTTTTTATTCATTGCTATAATCAGTTTTCCCTCCCATCTGACATCTATAATCAGTTTTCTAAAAGCATTCATTTCCTCTATTTCTATAGCCTAGAAATTTGTTTAAGATTGGATTTATTTGTTCCTTAAATATTTGATAAAATCTTCTCATGATACTATAATGGGCATGGTATTCTTTGTGGGGAGATTTTATAATAATTATTCAACTTCTTTAAAGGTTATATGACTGTTAAGTTTTTTTTTTAATTTCTTCTGGAGTCAGTTTTGATAAGTTATATTTTTCTAGGTATTTGTCATTACAATGTTGTTTGTAATATCCTCTTAATTATCACTTTAATATTTAATTATATCCCTTTTGTTATCCTAATAGTATTTGTCCTTTTTTTATTAGTCTTTCCAGATATTTGTTAATATTATTAGTCTAAAGACTAATAATATAAAGATATTATTATATATATTATATTATGTTATATTAATTATAATATATTATATTAATTATATTAATATAATTATGTTATAATATATAATTTATATTATCTTATTATATAAGATATTATTTTATTATATTACTTTATTAGTCTAAAGACTAATAAAAAAACAAACTTTTTTTAGAATTCATAAGGAAAAAAACAGAATTCATAAGGAAAAACACCAAACAACTTTTAGTTTTGTTGAATCTCTCTGTGCTGTGCTTATTTTCTATGACTTCCAGCTCTTATATTTATTCTTTCTCTCTTTCTACTTTCTTTGGGTTTATTTGTTCTTTTTCTAACTTCTAATGTTAGATGTTTAGCTAATTAATTGTTAACCTTTATTCTTTTGTGATTCATGTATTTAAAGAACTATAAGTGTCCCTCCAAATACTCCCATAGCTATATCAAACTAATATTGACAAATAGTAGTATTGTTCAGTTCTAAGTATTTTCTAATTTTCATTATGATTTCTTCCTTCCATGAGCTACTTAGAAATATGTTTTAAATTTCTAAATGTGCTATCATTTTAATTTTAAAAATTGATTTCTAAATTAATTGTACTGTAGGCAGAGACTGGGGTTATCAAATCTTTGATGAGACCATTTCCTGGTTAGTACACAAGTACTTTTTTTTGAGACAGAGTCTCATTCTGTAGCCCGGGCTAGAGTGCCATGGCATCAGCCTAGCTCACAGCAACCTCAAACTCCTGGGCTCAAGTGATCCTTCTGCCACAGCCTCCCTACATGACTTGCATTTTTCATCAATTATTCCCGGAACTAGAAAAGAATGAGCTGGGTGAGGTAGTGCACACCTGTAGTCCCAGCTACTCAGGAGACTGAGTAGGAGGCTTGCTTGAGCCCAGGAGTTCGAGGCCAGCCTGGGTAGGTGAGAACCCCATCTCTAAAAAGATATTATATATAAAAAGAAAAGAATGCATACTTTTCTGTTCTTAGGTTTAATGTACTCTCAAGAGACATTACATCAAGCTTGTTCATGGTTATTCAAATTATCTTTCAAATCTCACTTTGTTCTTTTGACTATAAATGACTTCTCTTGCAGTAATTTCTTGGCCTGCTCTAGAAAGTTGTGTTTATTCTATGTTTGTACTGTATCTCCCCTGAAGCCTCTATTTGAATCCCATTGGGTGACTCTGAAACTTGTCGATCTAGCCTACCCTTGCTAGGTTACCTGCAATAACAAACAACTCCCCAAATCTCCATGGCTTACAACCACAAAGGTTTACTTCCTGTTCCTATTACATGATACTCACTGGTCAGCTCTGCTCCATGCCTTTTTCATTCTGGAGCCTAGGCCTGAGGAGCAGGCCATACCTGGGATGGGTCTGCTTTGTGTCAGAAGGAGAAGAGTAATGCAGAACTCCTGGAAAGCTTCGGCTTGGGTGAGGCATACGACACCTCTGTGCACGGTTTGTTAGGCAAAGCAAGCCATGTGGCCAAGCCTGCTGTCAGGGAGGTGTGGAAGCATCATTATATCACAGGGAGGGAGGAGAGAATGCTGGAGAACAAAACTGCAATCTATAACACCTGCCTTTTTGTTCTCTTTGAATAGTCCCTACATAGAATTTCCAAACCAGACCTTTTAGAGACTACTTCAGAGCTGCCCTTGCCTGGCCCCAATTACATGGTACATGTATTTCAAAATAGCTGAGTTGGATGGTGTGTTTGTCTTTGTGACTTTTGCATGAATAATTGTTTTGTCTCATCTCAACCATTGGATTGAAGATGATTAAGAATCTGCTGAAAATGGTGAAAAAATGCACATACATATACATATCTAATTTTGCTTGCCATTTAAATAAGGGATTAAAAAAACTCCCTGAATACAGGAGCCATAAGTCCCTATCATTTTTGCAAGTGCCTATTAACACATAAGTGTTGTCCACTAGACTACACACTGTGAAATAAGGTTGCATCTGTTTCATTCCCTCTTGTGTCCCAGATACTAGCACAGTGTTTGGCATATAATAAGCTTTTGACGAAAATAAAAATGTGTTCAGTAAATAAACAAACTAAACTGGAATTAAAATACATGTCCAGGGGTCCGAATAGAATGAACAAGGTCAAATTAGTAAAGATAAGGGATACTCATTAGAAGCCCATGGTAAAATAGAGATACTATTTTTACTAAATCAACAGGTCTTTGAGGCTTGTCAGCTTCTTTTTGTAAAGCCCGACAGACAACATAAAGCATGGACAGATTGCAGCTAGCTTTTTTTTTTTTTGTTAATTGCTTTCATAACATCATGTTTTTCCACATTGTGGCATGCTTCGTATTACACAGGCCACATTTCCTCTATCATCTCTCATGATCATTGACAGAGATGATACGATTATTTATTTACTCATACATAAAGATTTATCATGTGTCTACTCTGCGCCTGGTACTGAGACTACAGTGGCGAGCAAAACAGACACACTCCCTGCCCACTTGAAGAATTCTACAGGGGAGGACCGTTAATTCCATGAGTAATTTCCAAAAATTATAATTTGGGTTATGTTGGTTGAAATACATGATACCAGGAGGGCAAGTAAAGAAAATGAACCAAATGCAGCCTCAGGAACCAGGGAAATTCTTCAGGGAAGCAAGGACACCGAATTCAGAGGTATTGGTATTGTATAGTAACCTTTGACAAACAAAGCATACTGGAACTAAGGAATTTTCCTTTACCAGGGAACTTATTTGATTGGCTTTGTTTTGTTTTACAAATAAGTGAATTATATTCAAATGGATATCATTTGAAAGATGACTGAGTTAAAGAGACTAAGCACCAGGGGGAGAACTTGGAATTTACCTTAGTGAATCTTTGCTTTTTTTAATGAGAAGAGTTAAGAGAGATTATGACGGGCAGGGTGCGGTGGCTCACACCTGTAATCCTAGCACTCTGGGAGGCCGAGGCGAGCAGATTGTTCGAGGTCAGGAGTTCGAAACCAGCCTGAGCAAGAGCGAGACCCCGTCTCTACTATAAATAGAAAGAAATTAATTGGCCAACTAACCCATATATAGAAAAACCTAGCCGGGCATGGGGGCGCATGCCTGTAGTCCCAGCTACTTGGGCGGCTGAGGTGGGAGGATCGCTTGAGCCCAGGAGTTTGAGGTTGCTGTGAGCTAGGCTAACAACACGGTACTCTAGCCCAGGCAACAAAGTGAGACTCTGTCTCAAGAAAACAAACAAACAAACAAATAATAATTTTGAAGATGAACAGCAATTCCATTTCTCGTCACATTTCCTAAATAAACTATTGTACATAAATATCAGAAGACAAAATGTTTGTGGCAGCAAAGGGGGAGAACTTGGAATTTACCTTAGTGAATCTTTGCTTTTTTTAATGAGAAGAGTTAAGAGAGAGAGTCCCGTTAAACACACCAGCTCTGGGCCAGGCTTCCTGGGGTCTAATCCTGCTTGGCCATTTACTAGCTACGTTCCAGTTTTCTCATCTGTACAATGGGGAGGTTAACAGACTTGCCTCATAGGACTATTGTCAGGATTAAATAAATTAATTTATGTAAGAGTCTAAATGTACGCTGGTGCTTATTCTTATTTACTGGGTATTCAGCAGAACCCGCTACACCCCAGTTCTTTTTCAGATTCAAAAATTCTCTCCCTATGAATCAGAACCATGCTGACACAATAGACTCCAATCTGCTAAGTTGTGTTTCTGAAGCATGGCTATCTTTTGCTTTGGATTGTCGTGTATGTGTTTTATGTAGACGGTACTTGAGAATCTGGCGAGTTTCACATGACAACATAAAGTATACAGCTCTAAGCCACATCATATAGTTATGAGTCGCATAATGAAATGTATTCTCCCAATCCCGTAAGAGATCCGTAGATAACATGGCTACTTTGATAGAAACAGAGTCCTTGAACCGTTTAAGATAGCAAATCACAGACTCATTTTTTTTTTTTTTTCTTGAGACAAAGTCTTGATTTGTTGCCCAGGCTAGAGGGAGTGCCGTGGCGTCAGCCTAGCTCACAGCAACCTCAAACTCCTGGGCTCAAGTGATCCTCCCGCCTCAGCCTCCTGAGTAGCTGGGACTACAGGCATGTCCCACCATGCCCGGCTAATTTTTTGTATATATTTTTAGTTGGCCAATTAATTTCTTTCCATTTATAGTAGAGACGGGGTCTTGCTCTTGCGCAAGCTGGTTTCGAACTCCTGAACCCGAGCAATCCGCCTGCCTCTGCCTCCCAGGGTGCTAGGATTATAAGCGTGAGCCACCGCGCCCGGCCTCACAGACTCATTTAAAAGTTATTGATACATGGAAGATCTTTGTAGTGTCTCTTTATATTCCATCAGCTTTAGTTATAACCTTTTATTCTCAATTGACAACATAATCTCTTCAGTCTCAGGGCTGTACATCATATTCAGACACGTAACTTTCGCCTGTTTAATGAGAATCTTTATGGTTACAATTTGGGGAGTGCTTTCACGTCTCTTTCCAATAATGGGAGCACTAAAAAAGATGTATAGGACATAAATAAATGGTCTCAGGCTGCTGTTGTAGAGATAAGAAGCAAAAAAAAAATTGCAAAATATACAAATTTGACAGAAAAAGGATAGCTCTGAAAAGAAGAACACATCTTTTAAATTACAAATTATTTTTGTTTTCTAAAATTATAATCTACTCCAGAATATCAGTCAATTGCCCACCTGAGTTTTAAGTATTGTTAAGTTTTAGTTTTCTAACTTACACATTATCCATTTCTCAGCATTCCTTTTGATTTTCAAAGCATGCCAGAATTTTCTTTATGGCTATTTTAAGAAGTCATAGATTCTATCCTAATTTTATTCACATCTACATATAGACATACAGAAAAAATACTGTAAGGTGTTACTCATGGTTCTCTTTGGGCTGGGGGATTAAAGGAAACCTTTGTTTTGTTGTTATAGTTGTCCTTTATGTAATTTTAGTTTAATAATAAAAATGTACGGCATTGGTTTTCTGAGCTAACCTAAAAAGTAGTTCTCAGTCCTAAACAATTCCATTTGAATATACTTATTTTTAAAACAAAACAAAGCCAATCAAATAAGTTCCCTAGTAAAGGAAATATTAGATTTTATTGGAAAATTCTTTAGTTTCAGTATGCTTTGCTTGTCAAAGGTTAATAAACAATACCTACAACTTGGCTTTATATGATTCCTAAGGGTCTTGCCCTTGGATTGTGTCTTTGTTGAGATGGAGTTAAATTTCCTGGAAAAGAGAATTCCACTGCTCAGCAGGCCAGCAGGCTTCAGACTAGCTACATTAACTCTACCTATCCCCAACCTAGCCAAAGAATCAATAAAAGCCGGTGGACTAAGACAAGTCATAAATTTGATTTGTATATCCAAAATCACTTCCATTCTGAGCCGACCTCACATTGGCAGTCTGATTTGATTACAGGTCATTTTCCCACATGTCGTACTCAGCAGTTTGAAAAATACAATGTATTAGTTAAAATCTGATCCTTGGGGGATATTTGCTTATTTTACAAGCAGCTCCTCCATTTGACACAATTCAGTTCCATGGGCAGTTGAAGCCGACACACTAAACCCTTGGAATTGTCCCAGCCCCATCAAGAGAGGCCCAAAGTCTGCACAGGGCTCTGTGCTGCCCTGCCATCAATGTTCACACTCTGCTGTCCCCTGACCTCATTTCGCATCCAACCTTTAATGACAATCTACAAGGAAGTCTTTGTGCGCTCAAATGTCCTCGTATTTATGACAGAGAAAATACTCCACCTAAAGATGTGATTAAAAAAAAAGATTTGATTGAAATGTTTTTCTTAGCCTCAGAATAATCATTTTTATAATATATTTCCTCGGCATGCAAAATCCTGTTACTACCAATTAAAAAAATATATATATATATACATATATATTTCCATTACTCAGAACTTGAAAACCACTTTTAAAGTAACAGATCTCATTGATTTAATTTCAGAGTTGAAAAGCATCAAGTACACTAGCGATTGTATCTAACAAATGAAGAAACTGAGGCCCAAAGGGAACCAACTGAACTAGCCCCAAGTCATATGGGTAAGTTCCCAACAGAGCTGGGGTTAAAACCTGAGGCCTTCTGATTTCCGATCCAATCCCCTTTCCACTGCCTCAGTCTGGGCATCTAATCTCCTTATCAATTTTGCCTAAAGAACTATTACATTTTATTAATAGTGATCACTACCATTTATTGAGCCCTTATTAGGTCTCTAATGCTGTGCATCACACTTAATCCTGACAACAGCCTAATGGTGCAAATGCTCTTATTATCCCATTTTATAGCTGAGAAAATTGAGCCACAAAGATGAGTAACTGACCCAGAATTTTAAACGACTGAGTAAAAGGCAGGAATGAGATTTATATCCAGTTCTTTCTGACCTTAGCACCCAAGCCTTTAACTATTTAATTCCATCCTTAGATTTCCCAGAACTTTATTTTCCTGGCAAAAAATATAAAACTGTCTTTTTAAGGACTCTTAGCCTGGAAAGCTCAAGTTATCCTGCTTGATATGAACAGATTGTTATCAGGTGCTCTGAACTCATTACATTGTCCTTTCCCCTCCTGGCCTACAACAAGTCAGAATTTAATCCTTTTAAAACAGGCCCTTTGTTGTCTTACAGTAACGAATCCCCTGAAGTCTATCTTATACTAAATTCTGCTCTTTACGGGGTGGGCTAGCAGCAAAACCATAATAGAGTCTAAACAATGGTTTCAAGCACCCTAGAGTGGTAGTTGCTAAGGGGAGCGTTTGACAAGCCAGGGATCCTGGGCAGAGGTTTCTGGGAAAGATAAGAGAAGGTCCACCCCCCAACACACCCCCTGGCCCCCCACCTACCAGATCCAGGCTGGTGTAGCACATCATAAATAACCTCTTACACATGCCTCACTGCCAGCTCAAAATGGGTTTTGAGTGTATTTGGCTTGTTTTTAAAGAGAGTGTGAGCTAAAAGCTGTCATTTAAAATTGCCCAGAACCGGAGTCACAAGAACAGGTGGGCCTAGATTTAAAACAAAATAAATGAGAGGCTGAACTTAACCAAAGCAAACATTATGCAGTGATTGTTTTGCTTTAGAAAAGGATTACCCTTGGGACTCTTTAGAGCGGTGATCTCCCTTAGTGCAATTAAAATGTAAATCTCTCAATTCAGCTTTGGTTAACATGCTTGGCCTTTCAGGAAAATGCTTGCTTTATTAAGCAAGGGATGGATCCCTTATAAGGAAGCAGACCAAATTAAAGGTTTGGTTCGTTATAAATACTGAATAAGGCCTGCAAAGCTCTATTTCCTTTTTCTTTCTAAATATTTACGCTGTTATAGAAGCCACGCTATGGGAGAGGGCTTGTTTTAAAATATGAACCTGACACTCGGTCCTAAAACACACCCATTAAAGCTCAAGATTAGGGAGAGAGACCAAACCAACCCTTTTGCACATTTTATCTGCGGCTGAAAAGCTCTTTACCGGTAGGTGGCACTCTAAGAATGAGATTACCATACAAAAGGACAACAAATTCAGGCTAGAGAGCAAAATTCCATTCTTTCTCAGGCATCATCCTGAAGGAAACAGCTTTGCTCTTTGGCCTACCCGGGTTGTCTGGCTCTGCATGGCTGTTTGAGCATAAGGATGGCCACACTGTACCCTTCTTAGAATCACAGACTATGCAGGTTAGGAAGGACCTCTTATGGAATCTTTTAGCTTATAGTCATTCTCGGTCCTGGAACCACAGGATCTGTCAAGCCTGGGGAAACCTTAGCAATCATTTCCAGCACTCTCATTTTTTTTTTGATGAGGAAGTTGTGACTGAAATGAAGGACTCAAAGTCATCTGGGTAGTTCTCAGCCCAGCCAGGACAAGAGCCTCAGTGGGCTTGCTCTGGGTCCAGTGCTTGGACATTGTGGGGCACTGTGGAGAGTGAAATGACACCAGCAGTGTGGGGAGACGATGGCTCTCCACTGGTGGGAGACTGGTTCAGGCAGAGCTCACTGACCATGGGTGCTGAGGGACATTAAACATCTAGGATTTTCTTCCTTTTTCCTTACACTGATGATTGCCACCCTTGCAGCACTTGTGACAGATGTCAGGTACTGAGTCTTTGTCTCCAAGCTAACTTTCTTAGGCATCTCATTTCTGCCATCCAGACCACCATTTTCCACCATCACCCAGATTCAAAATCCTAGAGTCCCCATCGGCTAGTCCCTTTAGCATGGATTCCTCGTGTGCTTGGAAACATCTTAGGCTGCAGCGTATGGAAATGAACAAAACACACAGAATCACTCATAAAGGAAACCAAAAATAAACAGAACAAATAAGTCAATTATTTAGCATGTAGTGATGAATGCTAAGGAAGGTGGGAAAAAAATAAACCAAAGCAGGAAAAGAGAGATATAAAGTGTTAAGGACAGCATAAAAACTGGGTCAGAGAAAGCCTTACTGAGAAAGTCCCGGAGTCAGGAGCAGGTGTTGAATTTTAGGAACAGCAAGGAGATCAATAGATTATTTCTAGATTCTTACCAAACACAGATTTTTATTTTTATCAATATGTCCTCCCACTCACCCATTCATGCCTGTTGTCATCTCCTTAGGCAAGGTCCCTAAACCTGGATCTTAACAATTCTCATCAACTGTCTCTTCACTATGAGTCTCTTTCTGTGGCTGCTTATCCCTGTCAATTCTCTTTGAAAAAAAAATTGTGGCACCCTAGATTGGATCTTGGAAAAGGTATAGGATGTTAATGAAAAAATTTTAAAAAGGCCTGATGAAATCTAAATAATGTCTACAGTTTCATTACTAGTAACAACAATGCTACTTTCTTAGTCATGATAAATGTAAGTTGTTAACAACAGAGAAAACTGGTGAGGGGTATATGAGTGCACTGTGCTATCTTTACAACTTTTCTACAGATTTAAAGTTATTCCAAAAGAACTTTATTTTTTAAAATTCTATTTGATTAATACGTCACTCCTCTGCTTTAGAATCTTGAATGACTTCCTAGTGCTTTGGGGATGGAGTCAAAACTCCTTAGCCCAGCATGTAAAGAGACCTATAGATAGATATTCATTCAACAAGTATTTTTGGGGATCGCATTCAGTGTTGCAGACACTGCTAGACACTGATTGTGAACAAGACCCATGCGGTCTTCCTCAGGCAGCTTATAGACTGGCAGGGGACTCAGGCAAGCAACAAGTGATTGGATTACAAGGCAATGGGCACTAAAACAGGGGGGAGAGACAGTGCAAAGTGCAGTGCAAACCCATGAGAGGACTTAGGGGAGGCATCCTGGTAGAAGTGACGTCCACGCTGAAACAAAACAGATGAGTTAGGAAGAAGTCAGGTGTAGGGAGTTTGGAGGGATGGAGAGAGAAGGGATAAGGAGAAAGTTCTAGCATGTAGTAAAGGCTTACTGTTCCTGAAGAGTCATCTTGAGCCAGACTAGAGTACTTAGTGTCCCTAGAATCCACTTTTGTGGCCTTTCCCTACTCTACCTCTTAGGGCTCCATCTCACTATTTCCAGGATTAGCCTTTCAAAACCGGACAGAGTTTTAAGACCAGTAAAAATGTAATTTCTTTCTTGAAGCCTTGGGCAGTAAAGCCCATCTCCACGTCCACATTCCCTATAGACCATGTCTTTCATTTGCTACTTAATAATAATTGCTCTGCTTTGATTTGTGACTCAGCTTTGACTTGGCTGTATGTTGCCACAATGCTATTGTGAGCCACAGAGAGCAGGACTTGTGTCTTACCAGCCCACACACACAGTGCTGTGCAGATTGGCATGTTCAGTACCCACGACGAGAGAGGCAGCTTCCTCACCTGCAAAAAGAAAATAGGAAAATCTGCCTCACAGGAGTGTGGTAAGGATTGCAGGAGGCACGCTAAAGTCCTTAGTTCAGAATCAGCTTCCACTGTAACTGCTTAATAAAAGGTAATAGTGATTTTGTTGTTACAGAAAAGACCACTGGACTTCTAGCTGAGCTTTTAGTTTTGCTCCTTATTAGCTTTGTGACCTTGGACAGATCATTTAACTGGATTCTTTGGTCTCGGCCGGGCACGGTGGCTCACGCCTGTAATCCTAAGCACTCTGGGAGGACAAGGCGGGCAGATTGCTCGAGGTCAGGAGTTCAGAATTCTTATTTTATTATTATTATTTTTTTATTTCTTTCTCAGGAGTTTCCAGTGGGATGGAGTTAAGAATTCTTTGGTCTCTCTTTTCTCACCTTTATAATGGAATAATAATAGCTAACTTCACAGACTGACTTTTGAGGCTAAAATTTGTAATAGTGTGTGTGCAATCACTCTATCCTTTTGGGTATCATAATTTATGAAGCAGTTTTATTTTTCCCAATCATTGCTTCCAACTGTGCCGTGTTGTATGGCTCTTTTCCCCTGGGTGATGCTGCCTGGGCGATAGCTTTGACAGTTTTAATAACTTTCTAGTCACCTCGTGATGCGGGCAGTCTTGTTTCAGAGTTTAAGACACAGTTCTGTTCATTTTCATGACCTCAATATCAAGCTTGATTAAAAGCTGTGTTCCTGGCCCCAGGCAGATCACTCATTTTTGGGGCCCTGGAAGCTCTGAGTAGAAGACCAGATACAGCTGGGAGATAATTGCCCTGCACCTTGTCCCTGGGCTCTTACATAACCGAGGGCAGGGAGGACGGCCAGCAGAGGCAGAGGCATTGTTCTGTGATTGCCCACAAGGGGCAGCTGTCTGTCTTCCCTCTGGTTCTGTCTGGTGCTGATGCCAGCGCCCTCTGCTGGAGTGGTGGTCTCCTTGCAGGTGTGTGTGGGTTTTCCCCTGGGGCAGTATTCTGGCTCAGTCATCACTGAAGACCAGCCGCTTCCCGGGCTGGCATGCGTCACTTGGCCTAGTGGTCACTGGGGCTGCTCAAAACTCCTGCTCCTCTCCTTACCTTGGTATTGCTTCACCCTGCGAAGCCACAGAAGTTTCCGAGTTCCTCTTCTGTGTCCTCTAAAGGCCACAGAGAACCAGGATGGAGTGGGGTTTCCCTGTCTTCTTCCCGGCCACACCACACCTCACCGTGG